GTTAACTGTGAGAATAAACAGTTTCATCAACATACAAGAAGCCAAGCAGCAGTATGATAAGAAGCCAAACGAAGTGAAGGTGTACATTCAAAAGCCGATATCCTGACCTATTATAGGATTGTTCCGCATGCTGATCGACATTAAAATCCCACAAAAGCAATATTTTATGACCAAAAACGCTTTTATAATTTCGGTTAACATTTAATTAAATTGGTCACCGGCTGCAATGGTTGACAATCCCGCGTAGTCACAAAAGCAGGAAACTTTCAACCCGAGCAAAAACACAAATGATTATGTTTAATATAGCACACGGTAAGTGACAACAGTAGAGAATTTGCAAAAACTCCTTTTGGTCAAAAATATCTGGTGGAATATTAGAAGTACAGAGAAAATGTACCTAGCATACGTTTTTATAGAACAGGAATATCTTTAATTAGGCAGCATATAACGATAGAATTCCGCGTACACATTGTATTCAGGGAGACGCAGAATGGTAGTGAAATATACCGGAACGAGTTTTTACAGAATAGTAGTCAACTGCAAAGGCTGTTTGGTCTATACTGCTAAATATTTTACTTTTAACTGACATTTTGGAGGCAAAGATGAAATAAAGTATGATACAGGTTAGATGGCCAAGCAGCGTAACGATAGGAATTCAATTCACAACTTACGATCTCCAAATGATTAGGGTAGTTAAATCCATTGATGTCCCTTCATGGCTTTGTGTTGATTGGCGTGATACATTTATTAGCTCGTGTTGAGCAAGCGTACAAAGTGGCTGTTATTTACTATCGGTTAGTTCGGTCGGTTAAATCTTCACAGCCACGCCTTCTCAAAGCTAGTTCGTTTCCAAGATATTTTGATAGACAGGCTTTAGTCTGGAATATTTTTATACACTACGCGTCATACTGGTTAATGTAAGCCGGCCCTGTGAGATAGGCGGTTAGAAAGGACCAAGTTAAAGCCTGCAGAATGTGGATATGAAATAAAATTCCCGAAAATATTATGTGCGGCTTTAGCCGCAGGGGGCAATAGAAAGGTGAGAAGGCCGTGCACTGTACTTTAGCCCAGTAAAGAAGTGACTAAATAGGTTGGCAGTCGGTGGATAGTGGAACATTTACCCATGACGGCTGGCCATAGTATAGGAAAGCAGTTAAGGTTGGTAAACAATTCGACACTAAAGACTCGCGAATTAGTATGGTTGTTTTACAGACCACAGGAAATAAATCTTAATGTAGCTAAAAAATGGTCACCGTCTCAAGTAAGGATTTCTAAACTCTAACAGGAGGTTTGTGGAACACGTTAATTGACTTTATTGGTAATTTGGTTGACAAAACTCGCTGCTCGGTTACTTTACACTAACTTCCAGTCAATGTAATTGTGATTATTTAAATCTACAAAAAAATTATTTGTTGTGCCGAAACAGCTAACAAAATTTGTTGAAGTTTATGCCTAATTAGACAAAGCGTTAACGAAAAAAACGACATTGAAAATAACCTCTAAAAGCTTAACCTTATGAAAACAGAAAAACGAGCAGCCATTGAAAAAAGTTCATACAAGCAAAAACGGGAGAATTAACACTATTTTTACAGACAGTTGATGGTGCAGCTACAATGCAAAACGCACCAAAGAGCCTCACAACGACCGACCAAACGCACACTAAATTGAATTGGTTCCAAGTTTAAAAACGGGCTTACCCGGTTGGTTATGCGAAAAATGCACAAGGTTTAGTATTCATAATTTACAAATCCAAAACTAAATCCATAGTTATGAAAGAAAGGAGTCTCTTATATTCGATATAAGTCTAATACTAGGACTACTAGTACATAAATACAACGGAACAAGATAAGACATCTAGGGAGTTCAAAGGTATTATAGGGAGTTCAAAGGTATTTACCTATATTTCCCTCAATAAAACCTGACCTGACTTGATCTGCAGTACAACATAACTCTGTATCTATCGATTTTCACAGTCAGACTAAGATATAAGAGCGAAGAATGCGTTCAGATATCCCACGCTCCTGAAAGGCGAGCTGTTTGACGTCACTGCCTAGGCGGCTATGAAAAAAAATTCAAATGTTTGGCTACTTTGCAATAGTGTAAAAACATAAGCTATCTGCAGACTTACATGCACAAAATGGGAAAAAATTCAAAACCGAGCGGCGGAAATAAATAAGGGTGGCCGATTATGCTCATATATTCTGTCCTAACACAATTAAACATAAGTAGTCAGCTTGTCCTGATCCAAGGAAGTCCGACCTACTGCTTTCCTCTACTGCATCCTCCTACCTGGCTCCGCCCACTCACAGGCTCCAGCTGCTTCCAAGTTAGGTGCAGCCCGAACTGTCACTTCTAATCTTCCTGGTTATCCGCTCACCCGCCTCAACGTCCGCAAGTTCCTCTATAAAAGGAAGATCGACAGAATCGCCACTTGAATGAAGTCCTCAAATTTTTCATTTGAACAGCCTGCGACCCGTCGTCAGTGTTGTAACGGAGCCCAAGCCAAAATATGCGCCGTCTAACTACGCCTCATGTGAGCCCCCAAAAAAGAACACAACAGGAAGTGTGCAGAAGCGGAATTCCTTTAGTGTATCAGGTACAACGTATTTAGGAAACAAACGTGTATAAACGATGTTCCTTGAGCCAATTAGATTTCCTCATGAAATAGTGGCCGGTCCCACTGGCTGTTGGCTCAGTGAGTGAATGTAGCTAGAAATTCAAATTATCGATTGA